GGGAAATTCTTTCCAAAACTCTATCAAATAATTTCCTCCAATAATCTTCTTCAACAGACTTTCTTCCAACAAATTTATCCTAAATATTTATCCCCTCCAATAGATCTTTTCTAAATATTTTTATATATAAATAAATATTATTATAAACTAAACTGCTATTGAAAATAATTATATATATATATATATATATATATATATCAAAATATAACGGAAAAGTTTGGATAAAATTATTTTAAGAATTATTAATCATTTTTAAATTATTAAAAATAAAAAACTCATCATTTTTCTATCAAGAATATAAAGGTATACATACATTTTTATTAATGAAATTGTAAAAAATATTGTATCTTTTATTGTATATTTTGAGATATTTTAAAATTTTAATTAATTTGTGAAATTATTTTAAATTTAAATTTAAATTCAATTTAAAGTCAAAATAATTATTTTTTTAATTATTGATATTCAAGTTTAATTAATATCAGCTTTAATGGGATATAATAATCTTATCGTTGTAGTTTTTATTTATTTTTATGATCAAATATTTTCAAATAAATTAATTTTAATTAACATGATTAATTATAGTCACAATTGTGTCTCTTTCTTGTCCCTTTCTTATAAATATTGAAATTCAGTAGTACTTAAATGTACTGAGCATCTTCTTCTTTGTTCTCTCTTTTCTAGATTAACTTGCAAGTTCAACAGTATTTTAGGTTCTAATTATCGTGATTAATTATAATCACAATCATTACCGTGTTCTCTTATTGTATCTTGGGGACTTGCGTTTAGATCAGTTTGTATTTTTAGCATTTTTATAAATGTTAAATTTTGATATTTTTTAATATATAGGTGAACATCCTCTCCCAAGGATGAGAATAGGCCATGTGAGATTAAACTTTGAATATATAGGGCAGGCCTATTCTACAAAATTAAAGCCTAAACCTAACTTATTATTTATCATAAACTTTTTTATTGGGTCTATTCTATAAAATTAAAGCTTAAATTTGATCTATTATCCATCATAGACTTTTTTTTTATAAATCTGGTTTGACCTTTTTAAAGTCTTGTCTGGTCTATTGGTCTATTCAAAAGCCTATTTTATATTAATAATGTTAATTAGACCAATAAATTTAATTTTTTAAAAATCAATAAATTTATTTTTAAATACACTGCGAGTTATTTTTTAATTTTCATGATAAAATATAGCTTATTCAATATTATTGAATTTTAAAATTTTAAATATATGTAATGTCACAAAGAGGAAAAAAAAGTCATTTTCTATTAGAAAGACAATATATGTACAATTACATATGTTAGTTTACATTTAGTTTACATTTACGCACATAACGTAAACTTATAAATTTATAATAAAAAGGAATAATTGTATAAAAAAATATTTTAAATATTTCATATATCTAATTTGATATATACTAAATAATCAACTCATATTTTAATAAACTAAAATAGTTTTGATAACAATTTACAAACTAAAAAACACTTATTGTATATGAGGTGGTCTCAAGGGTACCGAGGGATAAAGAAATAATAGATAAAATTATTTTTTTTGTTAAAGGGACAACTCATGTATATCTATGTATAAGTTATGATAAAAGAGGTTAATTTTATGCAAAAAAAAAAATTCTAATTATTTTAATTGTTTCATTTGACATACTTTCAATAACTAACTCTTATTTTAAAAAATTAAAATAACTATGATAATACTCATTCATATTATTGGTTTAACTATAACAAAATTTAGTAATTAAAAAAGATGACATAATTATTCAATACAATCAATTTAATACTAATATAATTATTTGTTTATTTATATTATTAATATATGTATATTAATTTTTATTATATTATATAGAGAAATGGATGATCTATCAAATCTAACTAATTTTTTTATAAGCCTAAACCTAGTCTTTTTAAATAAATAATTTTTTTTAAAAGTCTAAATTTGATCTTTTAATTAAAAAAGTCTGACTAAGCCAGATTTTAAAGAGGTCAAACCATAAACTCTTGATCTGACATATTCTCATCCTTACTTCTCAATTTGAATTTTTTACATTGACAAAAGTCAAAATTTGAACATTGATCGTTTAGTTAAGCAACATAAGTTTCTCCCCACTCACATCAACCCAAATTAATAGAAAAATGCATAATTAGTTTTATATTGTAGTTTTTTTTACAACAAATTGGTTATATATAATATATTGCATTGAAAAAAGTTATATCACCAACAAAATTGTATTTCTTAGTGTTGTACAAAATGAAAAGCATGAAAACTACATTATAAATATAGTTTACAATAAAATGTTTACTAAATTTTTTTAATAATTAGTAGATGTTAATTTGATAGAGACTAAAATTTCATATTTTTAAATTAAAGAGATTAAATATCTTTATTTTAAAATAGAGAAACGAAAATTACAATTAATAAAATTAAAGAGAACAAAATTACAGTTTAACGTAATTATTATTATTTAAAGTGTACAGCTAATCGATTAAAATGTCATAAAGATTGAGTGATGAAGAAGTTTATATATAATTAATGGAGAATCTCATATTATTTAATGTTGTTCATGTACAAAATATCTTTGCTTTAACGAATAAAATTAACATATATGATCAGGTGAACCAGCATACACGTGACAAAGAAAAAAAAAATTAAAATTTTGTTGAAGGTAACATATGGTCCATCTTAGCATTTTTCGTACACAGTACAAGAAATGGAACATTAGCAAAGTCCAAAATTTTGGTAATAATCGTTATAAAATAAAACCTATGCTATGTGGGGATGCTTTGTTTGGTTGTAGCAGCAATATAAAATCCTATGCCACCACTTGTCTTTTTCCCACCCACACATTAGCCTCAAGCACCATTCTTTTTCTTTCTCTTACTCTCTACTTTGTACTTCACACTAACACACTCCACATTCTCACCTTTGGATATGGGGAAGCTCATGCGTGCTGTTCAGTACAACAGCTATGGTGGAGGCCCTGCTGGCTTAAAGGTTTTCTTCCAACTGATGGGGTGTTTATAATATACTCATGTTCTTGCATTGTGTTAATTTGTATACTGTATTTGTATTAATTGATTACTATCCCAAAAGTTTTGCAATGTCTTTATACCCTTCTTTTCTGTTTTCCACTATTGTGTTGCATTTCCATTATTTAATTATACTATTGTGTGTGTGTGTGAGAGAGAGAGAGATAGAGAGACAGAATGACTTAATAATCATGAAGCAAAGTATGACACATAGAGATGGAGTCCAATGTAATCTAATAAGAATTTGTTCTCCTGATCAAAATCCGATTTCCTCTAAAAAATTTGTGGAATTTTCTACTTTGCTGTCAAAATTTACTGGATTATATGATGTTCCTTGGACAAGCAGTGTGTTAATGATGACGTATTTGGAAGGAAGAGTCTTATACCCTTTTCCTCTCTTTAATAAACTCCCATCTTTTATTCAGGATAAGAAAAATCCCTTTGTGATATGAAATGAACTACCAAATTAGATAAATCTCCAGTGACGCTTTTACCTAGAGATTCTTTCTTGAGTAAACAATCACTTGATCCTTGAATATGAAAGGTACTGTCATATTAGTCCCTAAATTTGGAAGACTTCGTCATATTAGTCCCTGAAACTAGGAAATTGTCACATAAATCCTTAATTTTAACTGCTTACTATCATTTTGGCCTCTAAATATATATTAATATTATTATTCTAGTTATACATTTTTTTTTGAACTTAGAACTAATATGATTGAAAATTTTTACTTGTGAACGTATTTTTACAATTTCTTAATTTCAAGAACTAATATGATAACACCTTTCAAATTTAGGGGTTAATTTGGGTGTTTTCTCTTTCTTTCTCTGGATTTATCTTTAACCAGCATTCTGTCACTTTATCTATATATGCTCTTAATCTTGTTTGAGAAAAAGTTCAATCTGATGTAGGAAATGCACTTTATTTGAACTTCTGTGCTTAGAAAGCACCAATGACATAAAAAAATGTATTAGTAGATTAAGAATGCTGTTTATAATTTATGCTTTTTTCAGCATGTTGAAATTCCCTTGCCCACTCCAAGTAAAGATGAGATTTTGGTTAAGTTGGAAGCAGCTAGTATAAATCCGTTTGACTGGAAAGTGCAGAAAGGCATGCTGCGGCCACTTTTTCCTCGCAAGTTCCCACATATACCTGGTAGCTTCCTTTCCTTATCTCTCTCTTGTTTAGATATTCATCTTTATCAAACATTTTAGTATTTTACTGTTAAGCAGGGCATGTTCACTTATAAAAATCTATGTCAAGTTTTTATTGTAATATTTTCTACCAGTTATCTTTGACAAGAATCTGAGGAATATGTGATGATCTTATGTTCTCTTAAAATACTGCTATTACTGCATGTCAATGCCTCAATGTCATAGTCTAGTACTACTTTTTCCATTTGTATGACAGCTATATTGAAACATTTATTCATGCGGTAGTGTTTCCTTTGCTATATAAATTTGCGATAGATATCGTTTTGTGGTTGCACTATTGAACTTAAAGATCTGGAATCAATAGCACAGTACATGAAGCTGTTTCTATTAAATTACATACTACACATTGAACTTGAATATTAAGTCATCCGATGCTACACATTGAATTTGATATCGTTTACAACTTGAGCTTTCTGAATCATATAGTTTTACTTTGAGCATGTTGGATACAAGGCTTTGAAGCACTTTTGAGAGTTTCTCTACTGAAAAATATTCTTTATTTTGAGTAGAGAATCTCTCAAAAGTACTTCTAAACTACATCCAAACATACTCCTTATCTTGTGTATTCCAAATCTTTTGAGAATATTATGTTGAAGATACTACATGCTGTAACAGGCACCGATATAGCAGGAGAGGTCACAGAAGTTGGTCAAGGTGTTCAAAAGTTCAAACCTGGAGACAAAATTGTAGCCCTTGTTAACCCCTTTGTAAGTTATCACATGTATTATATTTTATTGCCCGTCTACCTGAAAAAAATACTACTACCAGAGTCCAATTTCTTGTGTTGGTAGGTACTTTCTCTGAAACTTTAAAAGAGAATTGTCGGCGAATTTTTAGTCTTCCAAATTATGCTGAAATCTTCCTTTTAGCTTTTTCATCTCCCTCCAAATTCAAAATAATAATTTAATTTGCAAAACATAACTTTTTATAACTATATATGTGGGGTATATCTACCGAAAGAGCCTTTTTTACATGAGTGAGAGAAATGAATATTGACTATTAGATCTTTTCATAAATGGTCAAGATAACATACAAAGTCACTTGATTTTTTAAAAAAATGACATGACCTTTTAAATGGTCACATGATATTAAATCCTGATCATCCATGGATGGTTTTATGCTCCAGATTTACTGTTTTCTATATGTGAGTACTTGATGGAGGTGTTTGTCAAAAAATTTTCTATGAGCATACTGTGTAAGTATTATTGTGGCATTTTGTGACAGAAAAACAAATGATATATTGCAGAAGTGATCCAAATTTAAATATATAGTCACCCTCTTATTTACTCTTAAATTATAATCAGGAAACAAAAACATACATTTATGTATTTAAGGTGTCTGATTCATGCATTTGACTTGACTACATGTGATGGAATAATGCAAAATACCAACCAGCCTCATCAAATAAAAGGCATGTTTTATTAATCATGAAATTTTATTGTGCTAGAATGGTGGAGCACTGGCTGAGTATGCTGTTGCTAAGGAGAGTGTCGCTGCATCAAGGCCATCAGAAACCTCGGCATCCGAATACGCCGGGTTACCTGTAGCTGGTCTGACGGCTCTCCAGGCAGTCACCAAATCCTTAGGGATCAAACTCGATGGGAGTGGTGAACGGAAAAATGTTTTGATCACTGCTGCATCAGGTGGTGTTGGTCACTATGCAGTCCAACTGGCAAAGCTAGGAAACACTCATGTGACAGCGACATGTGGAGCTCGCAACCTTGAATTGATCAAAAGCTTAGGGGCTGATGAGGTAATTGACTACAAGACCCCAGATGGTGCTGCTTTGAAGAGTCCATCCGGTAAGAAATATGATGCTGTGATTCACTGTACAGTAGGCATTCCGTGGTCCACCTTTGAGCCTAACTTGACCATGAGAGGAAAGGTTGTAGACATAACTCCATCAACTGCTTCAATGTTGACATTTGCTCTAAAGAAACTTACCTTCTCCAAAAAGCAATATGTGCCTTTGGTTTTATTTCCAAAGGGTGAGGACCTTAAGTGTCTTGTTGATTTAGTCAAGGAAGGAAAGCTTAGAACAGCTATAGACTCCAAATATCCTCTAACCAAGGCTGAAGATGCCTGGGCTAAGAGTATTGATGGTCATGCAACTGGGAAGATAATTGTTGAGTTCTAGATATACTTAGTAATGCTCCATAAACTGAATACTATGTATTATGTGAATTGATTTAGGAATGTGTTGCTGTTTACTTTGGTATGACATGAGTCGCATCATTGTTTATGACCCTATATGCTATAACAATTGAATTGTTCTCAGACCATTTATTAAGAATGATATTATGCATTGTCTTTATCATAAATGATGATTAACATGTGTGACTTTGAAAGGATGCACTACTTTGATTTCCATTAGGCTTTGTATGAGCGTTTATATGAATAAATCTTGTGATGTGCAACTAAGCTAGTGAATGTTGGCTTAATGATGGGATTGCTAATTTGCTATGCCTCAACAATAAGATACTGATGTAAGATTCCAGCTGATGGAATCACCATTATCAATTCTATTGCCTTGAAATGTGGCCATTTTTCCTTACCAATTTTTCAGTTTATCTCAAGTACAACTATGTGACCCAGTCAAAACCACTTAAACAATATACCAGTATTTCTCAAATCGGAGCGTATTTCTTATACTTTTAAATATCACATTTTTCTTATATATAGTAACAAATTGGCATATAAATTACTATCGAAACTAAATCGACCGGGTGGACTGACTTTATATAATGAGTAACTTTTGTTAAGCCTATAAGAGTAAACTTGTTTTTATCAAAAATAAAAATAAAAAATAAGAGTAAACTTTTAGTATATTTTAAAGGGGAATAATTTCCTTCTTATTTCTCCTAGTGAAAATTTGTATTTGTATTTTATTTCTTTATTTTTTTTTTTACATTCCCTTTTCCCTCTAGCATACAAGGAGGAAAGAAAACTATAAAAGAAAAACTTAACTAGAATTAAGATAAGAAATAATAATAAAATTCAAGTGTTTGACTGATAAATTTTTTTATCTAAAAAATATAAAGATTAAACCAATAAAAGATTTTTAGTTTCTTACAAATATTTTTTAGTGGTAATTTTTGGCCATCATAGTGTTTTTTCTAGGACATCTTGACTAGGAAGATTCTTGGTTATGGTATTAGGTGGGGTAAAATATACTACTTGAAGCTGATAGACAGTGAGGGACCAAAGTTTAGTCTAACAAATCAAGCTGGTAGCGAAGATAAAAAAAGAACTATATGGTTGTTGATAGAAAATGAGGGACTAAAGTTTAATCAAGTGAATCAAGCTAGTAGCTAGGATAAATAAAGAACAACTGTATGATTATGACATCAAAGATTACATCCACATTTGTTTTTCTGTTTTGGATGTTTTAGATTTCATTGTGACACTTGTGAATTGGCTATAAACCATCGTATATCTTATTTTCCCAGTTTAAATAAAAGTTCAAACCTTTTATAGTGATCCATTATGGTGTTTGTGGTCTTGCAAAGATCTTATCTCTTTCTCAAGCTTGCTATTTTGTTACATGCATTGATGAATGCATTAAAATGACTTGAGTGTCTTTGCTTCACCAAAAAAATCGACGTCTGAGCAACATTTCTAAACTTTATAATATGGTTAGAACTCAATACAAAAAAAAAAAAAGTTTTATATTTTGAAATTTGATAATGGTACTAAATTTGTCAATGCATTTTTTCCCGTATTTCTAAGTCATCACGGGATTCATCATCAAACTTCTTCCTACACTTTGCAACAAAATGGATTGCCAGAGTGTGTGTGCCTTTTTCTTTGGGACAAACAAGCCACAATTCTACCGGGGGAAGAGATCTAAAATTTGTTGTTTATCTTATTAATCACATCCAAAATATGTGTTCTTTGCTTTTGATCCACCACTTCCGAAATCTTAAGCCACGAGTCTTTGGTTGTATTGTTTATGTTCACATTCCTAAGACTCAACATAATAAACTTGATCCATGTGTGAAGTTTTCAAAAGGAATATAGGTGCTACGTTCCTGCCACTTGAAAGTTACATGTAAATTTGGATGTTTCTTTCCATGAACCCGAACCTTATTATTCAAGGAAAAATTCTAGACATTCTCTTCAGGTGAAAGCTCAAGTGAATAGATTGTGTTTCAAAAAAGTGAGGGAGGAGATGAACTTAGAAAGTTAGAAGAATTGGATCAAATTTTTTATCAAAGGATTGAGAAAAGTGGTAACAATATTGCTGAAATTGAGGGTGACTCTTTGATACTTCCCAAAAATGAGTCAATTGATCCTAACATATTGGAGTCAATGTTTTAGAGTTGTCAATGCCTACACCATCAACTATAGAATCATGCAAAATGGTCAACCATAGGTAATCTCAAACCTTATTATTGACCAATAATGTGAAACACATGTTCCCACAGAAAATATAACTCCTAGATATCCACAAAGATCAAATAAGGGAATCCCAAAGAAACAATATGAACCTAATCCTCAAGCAAGGATTAAATATCCTAATAGTAACCATGTGTCATCTCATAGATTATCTTAATCATATGCACTTATTGTTAATCAATTATTCAATGTTAATATTCCTAGTAGTGTGCAAGATGCATCGATAGATTCAAGGTGAAAAAAGGCAATGAAGAATGCCACTTAGGAGCTTGTTCCATTACTCGAAGGAAGTAATACATTTGGATATAGATGGATGTTCACAATGAAACTTAAAGTTGATGACATTATTTGATAGATATAAGGTAAGGTTCCTTGCAAAGGAATATATGCAAAGGTATAGGGTGGATTACCAAGAGATTTTTGCACCGGTTGGCAAATTTTTTACAATTTGAATATTATATTTATAGCAACAAATTGAGATTGGCCTTTACAACAATTTAATGCTAAAAATGGTTTCCTCAATGGAGACTTAAAGGAAGATGTATATATGGACTTGCCACTTTTAGTTAACTACAATACTTCTAGTAGAAAAGAAGTATGTAAGTTTAAGAAGTTGTTGTATGGATTGAAATAGTCCTCTAGAGCTTGGTTTAGGAGATTCTATATAGCAATGAAGAATTTTGGATATAAGTAAAGTGATTCAGATTATACTGTCTATAAAATACAAATAAGGGAAGGTGATAATCTTAATCATATTGATGATATGATTATGACTGGGAATGATCCTTTTGAAAGGAAAGCATTATAAGTTGTAGACACCCAATTTCGTCCGGGGGCATACAAATAAGGAAATGGACCTCTGTTATGAAGGGAAGGAGCGCCCAAAGCATGCAAACAACAAGACAGGACTTTAGAAGGCCCAAAAGCCCAAATAAGCTAATTTTAGAAGACTAGAACGGGTTGTTCCCAAAACCGGAACAGGCCGTTCCCGGCGTTCCGAATTCCTAAAAGGGCCAAAAACCCTAATTTGGAACGGGTTGTTCCTAAATTGGAACGGGCCGTTCCAAACTCTTCAAAAGAGGGCTAAAACTTTAACTGGAACGGGCCGTTCCCAAACTGGAACAACCGTTCCAAGTTAAAAAAAAGCCTAAAGATACTTGTTTGGAATGCACGTTCCAGGCCACCAAAGGATGTGTTAATTTTATCTCCAGAACGGGCCGTTCCAATTTCAAAACGAGTCGTTCCAGTTATAAAATTTAGACGTAACAGCCATATCCAGAACGGGCCGTTCCGATTTTGGAACGGGCCGTTCTGGACCCCTTCTAAAGGCTATAAATAGGCAGCTTGGGCTCATTTCTGAGGCCTCCCAAAAATTTCGTCCATCACTCCTTAGAGCTTGAAATTTTTCTCTCTCTCTCCTATTGTATTTCTTGAGTTTTGTGAGGCTTATTGTAGTGTGAAAGGTTGCCACAAAGCACCTAAATCTCCATATTTGAAGATTAATAAAGCTCGTTCAAGAGGTATTTTAGTTAATTTTCTTCTCTCTCTTTTATTTCTTATCTTTGATAAATATTATTTATAATAAAAGCAATCATGTAGACATTTTAGGATCCATTGTATAATTTAAATTTTAAGCATGTAAATAGCTCATCCAACCTCACACAGAGCCCCTAGTCGGCTTTGCAGGAGAGCGAGTTCACACCCGAGGATACGTAGACTTGCTGACAACTTTCGGAATGCCACCGGATACAAGGCGGGTCATGGTCCGGTACCTCCTCGTGGAAGCCAACACTTCCTACAACATCATCATCGAGAGGCCAACCTTGAACCAACTCGGAGTGGTTGTTGCAACCCCACACCTCACCATGAAGTTCCCGGGCAAGGACGGTAAAGTCATCTCCGTCAAGGCTAATCAGAAAACAGCTCGGCAATGCTACGCCGAGAGCCTGAAGACTTCCTCGTCGAGCAAGCAAAGCAAGGGGAATCCCCCCACCATAGCTCCTTAAGTTTTTAAGTCTCTCTTCTTCTTCCAGTGTGAACAAAGTTGTGCACTCTTTTCTCGCCTCAGCCTTTGACTGAGAGGGTTTTTAACGAGGCACACAAGCACCATAAATAAAACTACTCCTTTCGCTCATCTCATATTCTTATTTTTCTGATTATCTAAAGGACGAAAGCGAACTCTAATTGTGCAAACGCTGAAATTCGAGGTCGAGTATGAACCTCGATGCTTCCGTTAAAGGTCGAGTGCAAATTTTAATTAAATAATCTATCTCAAACCCGAGGTCGAGTACGAACCTTGACGCTCTCGTTAAAAGGTCGAGTTCAGACCTTAATTAAATAGCATATCTCAAATTTGAGGTCGAGTCCGAACCTCGACATTTTCGAGGTCGAGTACGTACCCCGACGCTTTCTTTAAAGGTCGAGTTCGAACCGTAATCAAATAGCAAATCCGAGGTCGAGTACGAACCCCGATGCTTCCGTTAAAAGTCGAGTTCGAACCCTAATTAAATAATCTATCTCAAACCCGAGGTCGAGTACGAACCTTGACGCTCTCGTTAAAAGGTCGAGTTCAGACCTTAATTAAATAGCATATCTCAAATTTGAGGTCGAGTCTGAACCTCGACATTTCCGAGGTCGAGTACGAACCTCGATGCTTTCTTTAAAGGTCGAGTTCGAACCGTAATCAAATAGCAAATCCGAGTGTCGCCACCGGCCCCAAACGGGCTTTCGGCATTCGCGAAGGATGGTTGGACTCGTTTATTTGTTTAAAAATATGGATTGCTAGAATGACGTATTCTCAAACTGAGACCTTGTCAAACGAGCAATTTTATTAAATGATTCACCAATCCATATTAATCCCAAGCGGGACCCTCCATGGATTAGTGGTTTTCGCAAAAGGAGGGGTTCGTGGAGTCGCCACCAATGTTTT